TCATTCATATTATAATGTAATAATATTTTTTATTTTATGATAATTTTTTTGTAAAATTAGAATTATACATTAGAATAAATATTTAATTTAGATATACATTTAAAAGTAATTAAATTTAGATAATCAATATATAGAAGAGATAGTATTTTTATTAAAATATCTCATCCTTATAAAAGATCAAAAGTTTAGAAACTCAAATTACAAGGAGCAATAAAAATATATTTTAAAAGTAGAATTAGATTGACATTGTCAATGTATTTTAAAACTAATTTTTCTGACGTCTAATAATTAAGGATTACTTTCTTATCTTTTTATTTAACCTATTTCTAAAGTTTATTCTTTTTCATTTTTAAGAATAATAATAATAATAATAATAATAATAATAATATAATAATAATAATATAATAATAATAATATAATAATAATAATAATAATAATAATTTTTGAAGAGATCTTATTTTAATAAGTCCTGATCTGATCTGATCTGATTGGATCTGATCTGATAGGATCTGATCTGATCTGATCTGATTGGATCTGATCTGATCTGATTTTAATAAGAATAACAAAAAATAAGAAAAAATAAGTTGAACGGAACGGGGCCTAAAAACTACAAATTCAAAAACTACTCCAATAAAATGAGATATTCAAAAGGAAAAAAAAGTAAAGTAACATGACTTAAAAAGTTTAAGTCCTAGATTAAGAAAGTCATTATGTTTTAGTCTTATTTAGTGCAAATTTCACAAAAAAGTATAATACTTTGAGAAGAAAAAGTAAAAACAACTCCAATGCTCCCTCCGTCCACAAATAAAATTATGAAAAAATTACTCCACCTACATCTGATCACTCCGTATAATTCTTTTCCTCTAACAATATTTTTTTATTTTTGCATTTTCGATAATTATTTGAGAGATTAAAACATTTGTCTCATTTTTTGCTTCGTAAAATATTTTATGAATTTTTTAATATGTAAGCTTAATTTTTATTTTTATACCAATTTTTAATTAAAATGATTACAAAAGACACAAGATTTTGTTTCATAAAATCAAATTCGTAAGAGACAGATGGAGTATATTTAATACACCATATAATATAAATTTCATGTAATAAGGTTTCATATTAAGCTATACTTATGGGATGACAATAATGGAATTCACAAATTATGACAATTAGGAGAAATGAAAATCATGTTTCACTTTTTATTATTGACACATCAAAGTGCTATATATATATATATATATATATATATATATATATATATATATATATATATATATATCTGTGTGTGTGTTTTGGTGAAAATGCGATCTTATGAAAGAAATAAGAATGAATTTGGTGCTTTAGATTGTGAGATCTAAGAGTCAGGATTGCATCAAAATTAGGTGTATCAAAATGGTTTGAAAATGCGTCATGTCGAAAGGCACCAAAATCCTTTGAAAATGCACTATCTCAAATCTGAGTGCAGGATGCAATCTAAGCCGCACGATGCATCAGATCCAAACGCTAGATTTTATTCTTATTTATTTTACCAAAGTGCATTCACACACACACACACACATGAATATAAGTTTACAATCTTTTTCAAAAAGATAAATGTTTCGTGGCAATGTCATAGTATGACTTGGGCTTCAATTGGGATTCATATTCGTCCCTGTTAGAAAAATTGACAATTGCTATTAATTTTAAACCCCAAATGTAGTCTGAATTGATCCTCC